TCTACAAAGTGAACTATAACCTGACTTGTGCAGATAATAAACTGGTACCCTCATCTATGAGAATACCCTGGTAACTCAGCAACGGAGCCTTGGCCAATTATAGCTGCTGAACTTCTAACCAATCCCAGGCTGAAGTCTGCCAAATTCCACCCAAACACAGCAAATCTCAAAATACAATCAGATAACCAACTTGATGTCATCTTTTTTTCCTTCTTTCTAGGTATAAGTACAACTCACCTCATGGAGGGAGTGGTCTTAACCTTCTTCCATCCACAGCACTGCCCAGTTGTAGAACCTCTTCCCTGCTCAAATATATTTTGTTAAATTTAACCAGTCTTAGGACTGTTGCCTAACTGTATATACCCAAATGAATTTAAAGGATTTTGATGAGGTATTTGTGAGCACAGTTCAGAGCACCGTTAGTCACAGTAGGTAAAACTAGCAAGCAATGCAAGTGTCCATCTGCAGGCGAAGGAAAAGCAAAAAGCACCTGTATTCAGATTTGTGCCTTTGTGAAATTCTGGAAGCAGCTAACCAGATCGTGACAGGATTTAATTTGCTCACAGTTTCAGTGGTTCACATCCAAGATCAGGAAGCCCTGTTTGTTTAGCCTCTGGTGAAGGCAGTACATCACGGTTGGAGCCCATGTAGGAACGAGGAGTGGTATCACCAATCGGAGATACTGGCATCCCACAATCCCTTCCATGACCATGCTCCCACTGACTTAAGGACTTCCCACTAGTCACCACCTCTTAAAGGTTCCACACTACCCAGTAGTACTGTGCCATAGGGAGTGAGACTTTAACATTGGGAGATAGTCGACATTCAAACTAAGCATTCTGTCCCTACTTTCCAAAGGTTCATCTGTCTCACAAGGCAAAATGAACTTTTTCTACCCCCAAGAATCTCAAAGTCTAAACTGCTCCAGCATTACTCAGAAGTCCAAATCTAGTATCTCATTTGAGATTCAAGGAAAACTGAGCTGACCACCTGTAAAACGCAAAAAGAAGTTATATACTTCCAAAATACAACAGTGGAACAGGCAGAGGGTCAACATTCCTATTCCAAAGGACGGAGAACTAGAACTGAGAATTTGTCCAAAGCAAAATAAATGGGCCCAGATTCCAGCGAGGCCAGTCCCACGTGAGACTTCCCAGGGCAGGGGTGGAAACATGCTCACTGACGGCAAGCAGGTGACGATGGCTGAAAATACCAAGGAGCAGGCACAGACCTGTGCTCTGGGTGTGTGAACCCCTGACCTCTTCTCAGCTCCCTGAATGGGCTGCAGTGACCACAGAGCTCCCTCCATCCCCTGCTAGATGGCTGGTTCTGCTTGACTAAGTTAGTTCAGGGAAAGACAGCCAGGCCCTCAGGTCACAGTCACCTGGTCAGGTTCACATGCAGCCTCAGGCTCCCCTCCAGCACAGAGGGCCTGTGGGCACATAGGGACCAAGTGTTCCCCACCCTCTATTGCCCTATAAATCTCCTGGGTGAGTGGTGAGGGACAGTGGGTTCTGCACATCCAGCCCACAAGCATTCCACTGACCTTGGCCAACTCTGTTCAGTAAGTCCTTCACCAGCCTCCTCCTGAACTGATACCTTGGCACCCTACCCACATAGGGGAAACTGAGGCACCAGCTTCTGCTCCTGTGGGCAGAGCCAGGACAGGAGAATGGCCCATTTTCTCTGCACACTCAGCACTAGCAGGGGCACAGCAAAGCACTGGGCAGAGTTGACCTGGTGGCCTGTTCATGATTTGAGGCCCTACTGTTCCTAGGCTGACCCTGGGCCTCTTGCCTTCCTCTGGACTCTGACTGCAGAGGAGCTGTCTCCAGCAACAAGCAACGCTGCTTTTCTTCCCTGTACCTGCTCTGCCGTGTACGCCTCCTTTCCTGTGCCGTTGGAGCCCAGCCCTAGCTGCAGGCCTAGACCTTGGCTTTGGGATTCAATGATCCCAAACTGCCCTAAGAGAGAAAGGGGTGCCTTTCGGCTCTGATGCTTTAGCTCTAAATTTGCTCTCTGGGCTTTGCTCCCCTGACAGGGTCATTTGTCCTTGATCTGCTGGAGGCGATTCCTGTTTCTCAAGGAACAGATGTGTTCATTAACTTCCCCAGATAACCTGCATGCCCCTCTGTTGCTCTCTTCCCTCTTGCTTATCTGGGTTCATGACCTTAAATTCCATCTCTCCCTTCCCCCTGCCCACCCTTAGTCTTGAAGACTAGGAGTTTGTAAAACCCTCCACCTTCCTCCCCATGAACTGCCCTGAGTTCATATCTAGCTATAAGTTTTGATTTATTTCATTTTATTCACCCTCACTACTATATATATATTTGGTCTTTTTGAGACAGGGTCTGCCTGTAGCCCCAGCTGTCCTGGAACTTACTATGTAGCCGAGGCTGGCCTTGAACTCACATAGATCCACCTGCCTCTGCCTCCTGAGTGCTGGGATTAAAGGCGTGCACGCCACCACACCCGGCCACTATTGTATTTTTAAATGAGGCTTAGAGAAATTTAAATATTAATCTAGTCACAAAATGGCTGCTGATAGAGTCCAGATTGGAACCCAGTTCTGTTTTCACCTCTATACCCATGTGTAGCTGGAGAAGTCAGATTCTCCTTGAGTCTGTCAGGGCTGAGGCCAGGAATAGGGTACTGTGGGTGGCCAGAGTGGCCTTCTGAGCTGCCAGGAACCCTTATCCCACACATCAATGGACCCCAAATTCTTGTTGTCTGTGCCCAGTCCTGAGCCAAGGTTCCATCCTCAATGGAGGAAGTGCCACAGGGGACTGCCCCTGTTGCATACAAAGCACATGACCAGAAGTTGGAGACTGGCCTGATGTAACTCAGCTTTACCTGCTGAGGGGCCTGAGCACATTGTTGAATTGCTCTGAGCCTCGCTTCTGCCTCCCTGTAAAAAGGACAGAGAGTGATATCTTAAACCCCCAGGCAATGGCCATGACTCCCTGAAGAACCAGGGCTGTCTCATGGACTTGTGATCAACAGCAATCCCCAGCCCAGAATGTCACAGAACTCAGACCAAAACTAAATCCTTGTCCAAGTGATTCAAAATGTAAAGGTTGTGGGAACTGGGAGAAGATGGAGACGGCAGCAGTGTGTGCTGCCTGGGGAGCCTGGGGGAGCCTTGGACTGGAGTTTATCTCAGCCACCCTGTGTTCTGGCTGTGTGTTGTGGCACAAGATCCTGCTTTCTTTGGCCAGCAGCTTCTCTGCCTATCAAATAGTGAGGATTGGGAGCCATCTAGGACTCCTGTGCAGCATGGCAGTCCTTCTGATCCTGCACAGACCCCCTTTCTGGGTAACCTTGTATCATTCCCTTCTACCTGCTGTGCCTCAGTTTCCCCCTTTGTAAAATGGGGCCATGGCACTTGCACCTTAAGATCACTGCAGATGCAAGAGGACCCACAAGCTGTATTCAGAAGAAGCAGTATTTGACAGAGCAGAAAGCATACAGGCTAGGAAGTAGCCCAGCAGCCTCAAGGGTAGAAACCACCCTGGAGCAGTTGGGGCTCTCTATAGGATCAGAGGTGATGATGAAGAGGAGAGTGCCATGGGCATCATTTGACTGCCTCCACCTTTTATGATAATTAAGCCACATAGTGAGTTATATGACTAGCATGCTTTGTGGGTATTAACTGACTTGAAGTTGTAGGATATACATAATTCCCCAGTAATGGGAGAAGTAGTGTTCTCTTTAAAAATTGATTGATTGATTGTGCGTGTGTACCATAGTGTGCAGATGGAGGTCAGAGAATAACCTCTGAGAGTCTGTTCTCGCCTTCCATCATGTGGTTTCAGGAACTGAACTCAGGTCATCATGCTTGGCAGCAAGCGTCTTTACCCACTGAGCCATCTTGCTAGACTGGGAGTAATGTTTTATGAAACATAATTTGTAAAAGTCTGGAGAAGTGCTAGAATATCATCTTTGGTACATGAAAGACCTTCGTTCAAATCCTGCCTCTACTATTCATTAGTCTCAACAGGGACAACATCTAATTTCCCACGAAGCTATCAAACAGACATACCACCCAAAAGAGAAAAATAAAATTACCTGTTTGGGATCTGACTGTCCCATTTTCAAAAGAAAGCTAACTGTTGCTCTCAGGTGATGAAAGAATTAATAGTTACCCAGGACATGGGGTCAACCATCCTTGACCCCCCAGCATAACATCCTGCCTGGGAGTGGTTAGGTCAGGACCCTATGGGAGGGGTTGGGAGTCAAGGCCAGAGGCACCTCCTCTCTGCCATGGTTCCCTTGTCCCTGAGAAGAGTCCTGCAGAAAATAGCACCCAGGCCACAGCCAGCACAGGTGAGGTCCTAGCTCTGCTGTGACAAGGGCAGGTCTTGTCCCCACCCCAACTTCATCACCTCTTCCTCCTTTTCAATAGAAAGTGGACTCAGGGTCCTTGAGTCACCTGCCTTTTCCAGTGGCCTCAATGGTAGCACCGTTGTACAGCACAGCAGAGGATTCCCTGGCTTCTGTACCCAAAAGGTTTTACCAGAATGCAGACTAAGCCACTGTGTGCAAGAACCAGGAAGCTTCCAGAAAATAATGCTGACTTAGGAACTTCCAGTGTTCACTGAGAATCTCCAGGCAGGGGCAGAGTTGTACCTCCATGATGGACTTGTATATGGAAGTCCTGAGTTCAAATTCTACCACAGACAACAATAATTACCATGAAATTATCAAACAAACATCATGTCCAAAATTCCAAATTTTTCACTAACTAACTTCACATAATTCCTTAGTGGCCTTTTAGGGTCATATTTTCATCCCTTTAACACCTGATGAAGCGAGGTTAAGAGAGAAGTGTCTCCCATGAGGTTCAGAGATCCTCTCCTCAGATGCTTATCTAAACCTTGATCCCATCCCTGGCTGATGCCCCATTCTCTCTCCCCAGGGCTCTAGAATGATCAATTTCAGGATGAGCACACTGTGGAAGATGATTCTACGTGCATAAAAACGAGGTGGTTCTTGTACCCATGGTCAACCGCCTGGGTAGATTTCACTTGCACCAGGCTAAGAGTCTGTCCATCTGGGTGCTGGTACAGCACCGTGTGGGTGATGCCATCACCTTCTTCATCCCTCCCGACCTGGGGAAGATGCAACACCTGGTTCAAAGCCTGAACCATGAGCACCTCAACAACATCCAGAGACTCATTGATCTGAGGTGACACCCCAGTCCAGGGACCCACTCAGAGCTGTCTTATCCTCTGTGCCATGACCCACCTGAGGTGATCTTGGGACTGGCCACAGGCTGAAGAGGGTGGACCCCATCCCTGGGCCACGTTACTATGTATGACCTAGAGCCTCTTGAGTGGAGTTCTGGCCAGGTTCTGTGAACTGACAGTGCTTATCATGAGCACATGCCTCCCCACCATGCACACTGCGCCTTCCAAAACTGACTGCTGGTGTCTGTGAGTCACCCAAGGGTATATCTTCACAGAACCGAGAATAGGGAGATGGGCTTCGAGACAAAGGCCCTGACTGGAGCAGCTTCAGGACAGAGCATGCACGGGCGATGCCACTGTAAGTGAGATTCTCCACAGAATAACTGTATATGGAAGCAGCACAGGCCTGCAATGGGACTGTGTTTGGAAACATAACTAGAGACATTCAAGGAGTGTGATTCAGGGGAAGTTTTTTAAAGGAAAGGGGGAGACATTTGTATACTCATTTTGGATATACACAGTGCTTAGTCTTGGAATCACAAGGCTGGAGTTGGCATCATCAGCTCATTGGTGGAGGTGCCACTTCTGGCCAAGCATTCTGTCCAGAACACTAGTCTGACCGTTGTGGTCTTAAATACAAACTGCTGAAAAAAACTGATGCTTACCCCGGAGGTTGCAAAGCATGATGGACTTGTGGCCTTGGACCCTTCTTGAAGGGTATTTCTCTTAAGCAGACAAGCGTGATCTTTCTGTTTGACTTCTAGTTCCAGTTTTCCATGTACTTGAAGAAAATGAGTTCCCCCAGGTACCACGACTTTCACAGTAGACCTAGGCAAAGCTTGACTAGAGAGGCTTAGAAAGGTAAAGGTCAGAGGTGGAATACTAGGTGTGGCCTTGCAGGAGGCCCTGTTCCTTTGCCATCCTTCACTGAAGTTTATTGGGTCCCCTGGAGCATGCCCCACAGGTCACTGAACCCAGTAGGTCTCCCCCTGGGAAACAGGTGCCAGGGGAATCCTGAGCTGGGGAGAAGGAGGTGGCTACCCTATATGGCATAGTGAGATGTGATTCCCTGTGAATACCCTGAATCTGTCAGGAGGACTTCTCAAAGGAGATGGCTCTTTGGGGACTACTAGGACAAGATGATCTCATTGGTGTTAGCACCCACCCTCCATGCCATATATAGAGAAAGCTATAAGGACAAGTCACCAAGATGTCTACCCATCCTGATATGGGCAGAGACGGGGAAGTAAACTGGAAATCAAGCAGAAAACTTTTTTAAAAAATATTTATTTTTATTTTATGTGTATTGCCTGCATGTACGTGAGTACACCCGTGTCGTGCAATGCCTCGGAGGTCAGAAGAAGGTGTCGGATCCCCTGGAGTTAAGGACGGTTCTTAGCCACCATGTGGGTGCTGGGAATCGAACCCAGCAGAAAACATTTTTTATAACACAGTGGGTCCCAGAAGAATAGGAAAGGTTATGAACTCCTGCTTTTCTTCCATCATCACAGATTTGCCAATATTTTTTTCCCCAAATTTAACATTTCTGCAACTTACAACCCGAAAATGGTCCTGAGCACACTGGGCATCACACAAGTCTTCAGAAATGGAACCAACCTATCAAGGGTTGCAAAGGATGCCCCTCTGAAGCTCTCCAAGGTGAGGTCATCTAACCATGGTGTTGTCCCAGGTATCTGAGGGGCAGAAAGGAATGTCGGGGACACAGCTCAGGCACCGGGCTGAGGACAGAGGAAAGGACACAAGCGAGGTCCACGTTGAGCTCCTCTTGAGGACTCTCGGGAGTCACCTGGCAGGATGGGATCAAAAGTCAGAGCTGAAAGATGGTGTCCCATGCAGGGAAAGATCCCATGGATCTTCCATGAGGTGTTTCACTGACAGTTGGTCTCATCTTGGCCCAAGGCTTGAGGTTCTGCTTGAACCTCAGTTTGCTCATACTTTAAATGTATAGAGTCTTATGCTCAGAGAATGTTTTAGAAGCTTCTGTCTGGAAGATGTAAAGCCATTGTTGGACCACAAAGTCCAATTTATGAGTAAGTTGACCAAAGAGGCTACTGGTTCACAGGAAATAAGTGGATCCAGAACAACAGTTCAATATGAGCCACATACTCTTAGAGTCTGGGCACTAGGAAGGTCACGGACCGAGTCCTTGACCCAAGAAGCTCAAATCTGTTCCCTGGAAAGTGAACATGCATGCATGCAGGGAACGTGGATTGCAGACAGTCCTTCCCCTCTAAAGCGGCAGGCTGTATCAAAGTGTGTGAGAGACAGAGTCAGAAAGGCAGCAGAAAGAGAAGCAGGTTGAGTCTGGCACAGAACTGAGACAGGCAGAAAGGCTATGGGTGACCATGCAGGGAGGGGGCCACGGGGAAGGTAGGTCTTTCCAGGAAACACAGGCCCCAGTGAGGTCTTCCTTGAGTGAGGCTTCCATATGGGGTCTCATTTCAGCCTGGAATGGAGACTGCACAGCTTCTCTCTCTACAGGCTGTGCATAAAGCTGTGATGAGCATTGAAGACAAAGAGTCAGAAGTGCTTAGGGTCACTGATTTATATGACAGCACTTGGCCTAAGGTCCTCTCCGCATGTTCAACAGGCCCTTCCTGGTCATCACCAAGGATGAATTTGTCAATTTTCCTTTTATCATGGGCAGAGTGGGGAACCCCCCCCAAAAAAAACCCAATAAATATTCTTAGGTAACAGTCTCTAACTTCCAAACCAGGATCTTGCCCTGAATGACTTCAAGCACAGGTATTATATGACTTTTTCTGGGGAGACTGTTTATATTCACCCCAGATAGAGAGGACATTGACAAAGCAAAGAATTCTATCCAAGTCCTGCTTGGTGAGCCAGTGACTTTATTGGGGTTCCTCACAAAAGCATAAATGAGGGGCTGGAGCGATGGCTGGGTGGTTAAGAGCACTGGCTGCTCTTGCAGAGGATCCAGGTTTGATTCCCAGCACCCACATGATGGTTAACAACTGCCTGTAACTCCAGTTCCAGGGGATCCAACACCCTCTTCTGACCTCCATGGGTCCTCCTCACAGGACCATGGGTAACGTTCAGGCAACATTACTGAAGTTCCCTACACAACTTTCAGGCAGCTATACCAATAAAATGGGACCCTCCCAGCAATTATTTATTGCTTATATAACCTCGGGAAAAGGTCTGGTGAATCTTGTTTCACGAGCTTCTAATATTCTCCTCTCCCTCCAAGAGAGAATGTTTTCATCTGGAGGAAACATACATAGCACTCCACCCGTTCCTTGAGCTCTTACATTCTGTCTCCTGTTATGTTCCCTGAGCCTTGGAAGCTATGACCATTTTCTTACATTTATAGCTGAGCATTGGGCCACTATGATCAACAGACACTTATTCTCAGCAGTTTGACCAGTTTAGAAGTCTGTGCAGTAATCACTGTCTGCTGCAAAAAGCAGCTCCCCTGACCAACACAGACAGTAACAATAATCTCTGGGTATAAACACATATGTGTAAAAGGCAAATTAACAGGCATATCACATATGTTGAACAAAATGATGGCAGCAACCTTCCCACTGGGTCCTGTGACCTCTTGAGCCATAAGTTTTTGTTCAGGTATACAGTATCAAATAAGGGTTCCCTCCATGGTGTGTATCTTAAATCCAGTCAGAACATATCTAGTTCTACTATTACACCAGGAGGCACGTTTTATCTGGCATGTTGATAGTAGGACCATTAGCAATAATTCTCCCTCAATAACCTGTATAGCACTTCCTAGTACTATAAAGGCCAGCTAGTAGGGCGCACACTTACAACCCAGTCCCAGCCTGATTTCTCCATGTCCTGAAACCAATGCATAAAATGTCTCTAGCAATAGGGACTTATGTGGTTTTAGAAGGCAATCAACAGCAGTGGCAATAACCTGTATTGTGTGGGGCTTTAGAGGCCTCCTTGATCAATACCTCATAGGAATGTAGCCCACCCTCGGCACCCAATGACCTCATGGCTCTTAGGAGCACCCTCTTCCACACACTCGGGTACTTTCATTCAAACACTTTTAATGATGCTTCTACTGTTCTGGATTCTTTTATGAATCTATATGACACTCAAAGGCTACCATGATATACTGAAAGCTTTTACAGAAGGTGAGAGAGGTCTCTGAAGGTCCACTGTCACCTGTTATAAACCAATGCCAATCATTCTTGGGAGAAGTGTACACAGCATTATTTTGGGGGGTACAGTTTGCTACCACAGGATAAGCTTAATCTCTTACCTATGCCTCTGTATTATTCACACCTTTGGTAAACTGTTGCTTAGGCTTTAGAGCCTTTCAGAAAGTCATAAGCACAGCATTTGGCTTTCCATCAATTTTTTCTAGCAACTCCACCTGTATACAAATATTGCCACACTTGCTTTCCAGTGACCTAGGCAAGCCTCATGATTTACTTCCCCTTGTTTTTACTGTCATCTGAGAGCTTTAGCCCTTGACAAACCCAATTTATGTATTGATCAAAATCATTCAGCTCCACCAAAGCCTCTTCCACCTCCTAAAGATCATGGCCCATCATGGTGCTCAGCAAATCTACTAAAGGCCAACTTAATCTAGACGGTTTCTCCTTGAGACTCTCTAGTGAATCTAGAGTGTGTCAAGTTAACAATTAATATTAACCATCACAGGGGCCTGTAACTACTCCAGGACACACCTTTGGTTCAGTCAATCCCTATTCTGGCAGCAAGTGTTGTATGACTTTTCCTAGAGAGACTATTCCCATTTATCCCAGACAGAACAGAGAGGGCAATGAAAGACCATAGAAATGATTCCAGGTTACTTACAGGAGCATAGATGATTAGTCACCCACAGAAGCATGGCTTTATGGCATATATAAATATATATTATATATATTATGGGTGGCTAAGACTGCCTCTAATAGCCCCAGAACCATTTGCTCCTGAAAACTCTAGTTGTGTCTGGGAACCTGGAGGGGGATCACGTGACTCGGATGCC